CCCCAAAACCCCAAAACCCCTTTATGATATAACAAGCTATTCATGATAATTATCATAATTAAGTTTATTTAATGAAATTTCCAAATAATTTTAAGCTAATTAAGATTTAAAACAAACAATGCCTTCATTTGTTCTTACCTAAAGTTCTCTGTTGCTCAGCTGAAACGACTATCTTTTTATCGATAGGCAGACCTTTTCTTTATCTTACCTTTTCAATAATAATTTTTGCAGGATTCGGAGGGAGTATATCACCCTCTCCATGATCCTCAAGATCTTCCTCTGTCAAAGGAATATAGAAAGGATCATTTTCATTAATTTCAAATCCGTAGAATACTAATTAAGGATATGCAATACCACAACTCTTCTTTCTAATTTCCTCTAGAAAAACAAAGCTTTCTCCAACAGGAATTAGAGTGTCAATCAAGAAATTATTGGTACCTTCTTGAATATCTTCCTTGATTACTCTTCCCCTGCACTTATTGATAACTCCATACACTTTGCCATAAGTTTCTGGGGTTGCCATTAATGAGCAAAGATACATTCCTTCAACCACTCTAGGTTCTGCATTTAAGAATGATTTCTTGCACAAATCCTTCACAGCAGCTATTAGTTGCCCTGTAAATGGACCATATGTATCCTACCTAATTGTGACCTTTTACTCTTCTTTATCATCCCCATTATCTTGTGAGGCTTGAGATTCATCTTTGACTAGATTGACATTTTCAATAATGAACATCACTCCTAACATGGGCTCTTCAAATAATGGTCCAGCCTATGTTGCGATATCAAATCCAGTTATAAAAGCATTAATTGCATCTCTTTCTCTAATGTCGTGAGCGCTCAACACTTGCTCTAATCTATCTATTCTTTAGTTATCGTTTTTGTCAAGCCTTAACTATTTTACTCCATCTACACTTTCTTGATAAATATCACCCTCTTGTAAATTAAGGTATTTCTTGGCAAGACTGTAGATCCTTTGCACGAATGAGTCATCCTTGTGTAAGAATCTGTTTATCAAGAGGTTTGGTCCTTTTCTTTTTGGTCCAAAACACAATGCTTTTTCTTCTATCAATCTCATTAATCTTTGATTTGCTCCCTTTTCTTTGAGCATTCCAAGGAATTATTGAATAAATTAATAGGCTAGTTCTATATCTTGAACTTTAGGCTCAACACCTTCTTATGTTAACTGAATTAAATTGTAAGCATGCTAAATCTATTTATGTTCTTTTTCTAGCCATTTTGTGATTTCATAGTTAAAAGCTACTGCTCTTACTTTAATCTAGCATTTTTAGTTAGCTGTCTTGTCAGTGGCACATTATTTTTAGTACCCAATGGCATCTAAGGCTTTTTGATTATTTTTGTAATACTTATTGAAAAGAATCTTTTCAATATACATATCTGTCTTCATTTCCTTTTTTAAGAATTCTCTCTCTTTCTATACTTGTTGATTGACTTTTTCATATTCAGCCATTATATCTGAAAGGGTTTTCTCTTCTTCTTTCTTTTCCTCTTCTTTAACCTCTTCTTCACTTTCTGAATCAATCTCCTCCCATTATCCTTTAATCTTTTTTCTTTTCTCTGTTAAAGCTTAACTCACTATTGCTTCTTTGAAAGTTATGATAGGCTCAGAAATACTAAATTTGACACCCTTAGCGAAATCATCTTGTAAATCTTTAATACATCTCTCTAAATGGATTTCCCCACAAGTAGATAGAATGTATTCCCCTTGATTATTTACGAAGAATTGAACACTAGGATCAGATCTATCGAGCTTTATCAAACCTTTTTTAAGAGCTTCCATGTCTGAAAGATTTTCTGTTTCAAAAGCGACTTTAACCAGACCAAGTGAAATAGTCTTTGACTTTTAAAAATTAGGACAAAGAGTTGAAGTTGAAATTGTAGCTGTTTTTAATACAATATCCTCAAGATCAGCTAGTCCCACTATGCACCCAGCCGGTGCTTCATCAATTATTTGAAGATTTTAGCCTCCCATTAGTAAGAACATATGATCAACTTTTGCTTGTTTGATATCAACCTAATCATTTATTCCATGTTTTGGGCCAATAACGTTTACTGTTTAGCCTTTTTATAAGCATCCAGAAAATACTCTTGTAAATGCTACAAATCTCACAGTTGATTCAGACTTTTCTTAGGCTCTTGTTACTATATCAAAAAGCCTAGAGCTTACAGGTTACATCTTAGTCACATATAATACAGCAGGCACATCTGGACTGTTATTGCAATTTAGCACAGCATCCTGAACTCTTCGAGCTTCCTCAATCTCATCTTAATCTTCATATTTTTAGCTAGGATCAGCAACCATTTGTGGACAAATAATTGGCATTCTTTATCTCTAAGCAATATTAGGTGATGGTATATGTTATACAACCATTGATAATATTCCTTTTTCCATTGGCATCCATTTGCTAAATAATGTCTTAATCTTGGATCTGGAATCTTTATATTCTGCTGTGTTTACAATCATATCACTAGTGAATAGCTTGTTATACTCTTTGACTAATGGCTCCATCACAAATTGGACAAACATTTATCTACTTGATGAACTTGGAGGAAGTTTGTAGATTTTCTTTCCGCTATAATAGTACTCACCCCATAGAAATTATTAGAGTTTTCGGGGATTCATTCCAAATTTCTAAGCTATCTTTCTAGAGAAACCCGTTAGATTAAAAGCCCAGCAGTCAAGAGCACTAGAAAAAGCAACATTACCTTTTTCTGGACAGAAGAATAATTCATTCTCTTATTACTCAAGAATTTCATCATCAGGCACATCAAAATCATCACTAGCGATTGCATCGATTTCATTTTCGCCCTCATTTTCTTTTTAAGCAGCAGTTAAATAGTCCTTTGATATAAGTTCTGCAATAATTGAATTTACTTGTTCTACTATTTGATTAAGATGGGTATATATTTCCTATGCATTCATTTCTTTTTCAATAACTAATCTATCTATCTTATTTAAGACTAGACAGGTTTTAACTTTTTCATCAAAAGCTTGTCTTAAAACAGTATATGTCTATGCACTTACACCTTCTAATACATCAACTAGAACTATAGCACCATCAGATAATCTTAGAGCACTAGATACTTCACTAGAAAAGTCGACATGGCCTGGGGAATCCATTAAGTTCACTAGATACTGCTTTTCCTCATATTAAGGTCCATTCCCTTATTTCTAAGGCTCTTAATTAGGATTGCTTGGCAATTGACCAGGCTTGAGCGGTACTTGATGAGAATATAGAAGTGAAATCGATGAAGCTTTCATAGTAATCATCCTTTATTACTCATCCTCTCTTGAATCTAAATATCTGAGTGTCCCTGCTAATTTCTGATTGATGATTTGATTTGATGAAATAAGTGAATCTGATAGGCTAGTTTTCCCTAAAAAATAATTCATCAGTGTTATATAATAATACCATGATCGACATGAGCTAATACACAGATATTTCTTATTCTATCTGGGATCTTTTGAAGTTCTTAAACCTTTTCATGCCAGGTCAAGCCTTAAGCCTAATTTTTGCTCTCTACCATTTAATAATAGCACACCTATAAAACTAGAAATTGTATTATAATATAATTATTCATTAAATTGAGCAATAATCCAATCCATTGGGGTTTTGGGGTTTTGGGGTTTTGGGG